ATTCAAAATATATATATTATATATGTGTGTGTATCTCCATATATATTATTCACATATGAATGCATTTCATTCACCATAGACACTGAGAATCAATTTATTTTTAAGTGTGATATGCAACCAAACATTTTCTCAGATAAGCCAAGAATGCTTGGATAACTAGTACAGCATAGGGAACAATGTAGATCTCAATTCTCCTCCAAAATTAAACTTTGTGACTTCTAAAATATTTTTTTTTTTAGTATAGCCCAATCATGCTCCTTTTTCCTCCCAGGATCAAATGACAGATGCTTTTCATGAAAATACAAAAAATGTTTTCTTAAAATCTATTTCCCGTTTCTGTCGCTGGAATAAAAGCTTTTGCTAGTGGCAGACACATGCTTTGAAACTCAGCAGCTTTTTCAGGAGACTTCACATAAAGTCCATAGACTGGGCAGATACAAGGGACTTTTTGCACGATTGTCTGTAGATTCAAGACCTTTTGTTCCCTCATATTTAGTCTTTTTTATTTATTTTAAAATATAGGAAGTATACATTTTAATTTGTGTAGGACTTGTGGATGTAGTGTAGAGGGCTATTAGCTGTGCTGCAGCTGAGTTCTGTGATGGAGTACTCTTACCAGCCTACAGTCCCTGCTTGGGGATTGTCTCAGTTTATGGAGCAGCAGAAGGCACTGGAAATAGCTTGGAAGTAGAAAAGGAGGCCTGTGAGAACAGTTCATGAAGGGGAACACAGAGGTGACCATGGGCAAGGTCAGAGGGTGGAGCACTGGCAGAGAACAGGGACGAAACTCCTTCACTTAGAGCTTGGATTCGGTATTTGGCAGCAGATATTATTTTGGTTTAGGTTGAAGCTTCAGTTTTGAATTTTGTGCCATAAAAATCTTCTGAATTGTTGATTAAACTATTAGCAAATAAATCTACCCTCTTCAAAGCCAATGTTTATTACCACTCATAATGCATTTCTTTAGAAACGAAGTTTTGGTTTAGACATGTTTTACAAATATATCACCCGTTTTGATTGTAGCTGGTACTAATTTGTAACTACATAGCTAATGGTGAAACACAGCACTAGAACGTCTGGTGCTTGCAGAAAGCTACTTATATTTTAATGACAGGTCCATGAATGAATGCAGAGCATACTGTGTTACATTTCTGTAAATGTTTACAGAAATAGCTGTGTTTTGCAACAATCTGTCATGCAGATTCATATTTCGTGTTAGAAAATGTGCAAGAACTTAACTGAAAGCTTAGAGATTCCCCTTTTTAATTCCATTCCAGAATCATCAGAAATTTTCATCACTGTGCTTAGTTTAAGTGTAAAATGCAACACTTTTTATACTTCTACCCTGTGGAGGAAAATACACTGTAGGTCCTTGATGTCAATGTTCTGAGAGTCCAATATTTGCATTAGGAAATACTTCGTATCTCCTAGTGGGAGTAATGAAACTGGATTCCTGTGGTGTGAATAGATGCCATAGCTTTTATTGTGCTCCATTTTTCCATGTGTAATTGAACAGCTCTGTAGCAAGAGAACAAAGGTTAGATGTGTGCAAGTTTATCTGGGTACTAAGTTTCAATTAGAGAAAACCCCAATTCCTTCTGTTTTCTCCAGATTGTCTGAAGTTTGTATGCAAAGGACATGCTACTTTCCTCCTCCAACACTGCCCTGACATAGAGTTCATTTTTATTTTTAACCATCATTTTTTGGCCTCAAGTCCTAGATATCTGGGAAACTTACAGGTATCAAAAGGTGTAGTTAAAAGAATTTCAGGACCATCTCACAACGTAGTAAGAAAAAAAATTGTTGCAGCTAATACTTGCTTTTTTATGATCATTCAAGCTAATATACCACACAGCTGAAAATCTCCAGGGAGCAAATGAGCTGTGTCCTTTGCACAAAGAGATTTAGCAGATGCACTGTTACTTTTAAGGAGATGTTATTATTATATTAGGCTGCAAATGTTTTTGATGTCTCTGAAATAACCTTTGAAGAGCTCCAGCTTCCTGTGTGGTGATACGGTCAGTAGCACAATGTGGTCCAAGCAGCTCTGTGTTCAAATCATCTGTCTCTAATACTTGTCCTTGCCAAATAGGGAGGTTGGATTGATTTGATTTTGAGCTCGGTTACATTTATCTATCTGATTTTGAGTTGGGTTTGATTTATCTCTTGAAACCTGATTTATCTGTCTGTTATGACATTTCTGTATAACCTAGTATGTGAATGTTCTTTATTTTAAAGACAAGCAAACTATGGAGAAAATTATGGAGGCCAGCAGCTGTGAACTTTTCACCAAAACCGGGTTAAAGGCAGCACAAATATAAGCGCCAATGAAGGAACAGATCAGGTTACAACTAGGTACAGTACCTGAACTTCAGCAAGGCAGTTCTGCATTTACTGATGTGGAGAGGTCGACTATGTGTCCCACAAGTCTTTCTGGCGCAAGTACAGTAAGTTCAGACACCCTTCATTTCTCTCTCTGAAAGCAGCAGCCCTCTGCATTTCAGTGTTAAGGTGTGGGCAGGTGGTTCCCCATCCTGGGGATCAGCCCTGGCCGTGTCCTCCCGCCACGCTGTGAGACACCCTCTCCTCTGGCCCCAGAGGGATGGGGCTGCCTCACGGAGACTGGGTCAACCTTGAGCCTCCACAGCCCTGCTCCCAACAGTGAACCGTGTCCCAGACCTCTTCACTGCTCTCACATGTTCTGGATACAGCAGTCAGAATATCAAGGAAAAAAGATGCCCAGGGAACAGTAAGGTAGTAACTCTGCCAAGTTACTTCTGTGTTGAAGGTACATCTGAAGAGATTGGCTTTTCCCTTCTTCCAGCCATACTTGGGTCAAGAGATCAGCGCAAATGTGCAGGACATGTTACAGTTGGTTCCTAATCTGAGCTGCATATGAATTTCCTTGAAGCCAGGGAAACAAAAATTCTTTTTCATGTTCTCACTTAAGGCAATGAAACTTTTAAACACACGGTATTTTATGTTTATGTTTTTGTCAGGTCCTTCCTATTTTGATTTCAGGAGAGTGACAGCACTGGTTTGATTACAGTATTGCTTTTGGTAGAAGCAATTAGATGTGGTAAGATGTGGTTCAGATGCACTGAACCTTTCAGTGATATTCTGTGCATTTTTCATAGCGAAGAGTAATAGAGAAGTTTTATGTATGCTTTCCAGGCATAGTTTTCAAGGCTTTTGAGAGACATTGCTGCTTCCATTCTGCTTGGAAACTGAGGCAGAGAGATGTGATGTGTGTTGTTAAGGGTGTCAGGAAAAGCTGAGTCAAACCAGCTGAGTCCTCTGACTCCCAATCCAGCACCCCTTGGAGCAGAGCCCTTTGCCACCCCAGCACCGCTACGCTGGAGACCAGCGATGAAACTCTTTGTTTGAAGTGGAGCACTCCAGGCCCTGTGGGATTTGCACACTAATCCTTTGTGTGACAGCACTCGCATCTCAGGCTTACAAACATGAGGGTGCTGAGTGTGTTATAAGTGTTTGGATAGATAAAAAGAAAATAAACTGTTAAAATGGCTCGATTTTTTAACTTGTAAGAAAGTCTCAACAAGACAAGATATTAGAAGTGCTAAGAACAGCTCTGAAAGGATGTCAAGATAGTGCTACTATCAACATGAGCGTTTGTGGTGATCCTTCAAAAAAAGAAAAAAAAAAAGCTGAGAAAAAATTTTTATTCATTCTGTCCCCTGGGGACGCACTGACTAGTGATGACTTGTCTGGCTCAGCTATGTGTGGTCTAATTCACTTTATTGCCAACATCAGTCAGCACTCATTAGAAGTAAACTTCAGCACTTAGTTCACATTCAGTAAATAGGTTTATTAGTTTAGGTGAAATACTCTTAAGTCCTCAGCCTCACCCAGATGTCACAGTGATCTGGGTGTAACAAGGAGGGAAACTATTCATAAATCCTTCTATTATTTTAGTGTCGCAAAAATCAAGTTCAGTTTTATAAATTACGGGTTTGACTCTTCTTCCACGGAGTCTCTGCTGTTACAGCCCCAAGATTTGCTCATTTTCTCTAGCTGCAAGTTTACTTTCAGTTCAGAAAATTACTCAATCATGTGATGACAACTGTCTAATGCAAACCGAAATGTAGATTTGAATCTAAGTTTTTAAAAATCCTTCCTTACTAGAATTAATAAAATTAATTATTTTACAGCATATAGATGATCTATTAGTGATGACAAAGTACTTCAACACAAAGGTTTATTGATTGTGTTAAAAACACATTGCACTCATTACGCATTGAATGCATTTCTACTTGAGCTACAAGTTTGTTTCAGCAAGCAGTTTTTAACCGCTTCAAAATCCCAATAGGCTAACATTAAAGAAAACAAAAAGGACAAAAGTTGTCTTTTCTTGTAGAGATGATTTTATATAATGCTAGGAAATTTGGTGCCATCCAACAGTGTACCCAAATATAAAATCATAAATAGTTACTCAGTGCAATAAATAAAGGATTATTTTTCTTATTGAATTTTGAATTTGCTTTATTGGTATAAATTTGGTGATTGGCATTACTTTCACATTTGTTCTTCTCTTCTCCATACTTTTCTTTAAAAGAAGTATCCAACAATGTCTTGCAATCAGTGAGCTTGTAGCAGCGTTACAGAACCGCAGCCGCAAACACAGCAGGTGATGTGGTAGTTAGCTGAAAAACGTTTTCATGTTAATTACATAGGAGCTAGGCTGTGCATGAGGCTTTTAAAATTATTTGTAAAAATCAACAACAAGCCACCCAAAAAAATCCCATACATAGTATGCTTGGAAGCAGGTTTGCTTGGAAATAGATTCTTGTGTTAGTGCTAGTATAGCTGTTAATGACCCCAGGGCCTCCTCTGAAATCGAAAGGACACAAAGCCACTGTCAGGATCTTGGGAGGCACTGGGACTTCCAGTGGATCTCCTGCTTTTTTGGAGCTGCTGACAAACAGACAGTGAACATGTGCATTTTTTCTTTGCTTGTGTATATATGAATATGTGCTGTGAGTTTTAAGCATATGGAACTGTTGACTCATTGTTTGGTGATCTTGTATATGAAAAAGGTATGGAAGGCAATAAGGCCTTTCTTCAGTTCATGGTCTGAAGTAAATCATGTCTATCAAGGTGTAGATTTTGAATTATTTTCTTGTCACTGAAAACTGTAATTATTTAGGCAATTTGAAACATGGAAACCTATGGAAGAGTATAATGCTTGCGTGTAGTGTAGCTCCATAAATATATTGAACTACTGTCCTCTCTCTTCCTGTCATCTCTTTTAGCTGTTTCTGAACTTTAACAATCTGACTTGAATTTAAGTTAGCTTAATTACTTATAGAATACAGCAATAGTCAGAGTACACATAATACCAACAGAGCTTCAAGGAACTTGTTAAAGAATGTAAATTTAATTTGAGCATACATAAAATGGTAGCCTAGACCCAGGTATGGCAGCAGCTTCGTTATCGAATAAAAATCAGTGATGTAAAGTCCTCATATACTTCATCCCAGGAATCTGACAGCCGTTTACTCTGCAGGATTTGATAGTATGAGAGCAAGTGAAAAGATGAGATTCCAATTATGGTAGTTTTCATTTAAATTGGCATCTTTTATAAACCTCATGCTCCTATTAAAACAGGTGAATGGAAATTATCAGGTCCATATCACATAAATTATTAAAGTGCTTTTATGTTATAAACAGACAATAGAAAACATCACTTTTACAGTTTCAGTATGATTTAAATCTATTTAATGACTAGTTTGCAGGCTTTCATTTCAGAATTTAATGTGGGTATAACAAATATGGTGAAGCATCTTGTTAATACCTTTTCAGGTTAACCTATTGGTAGAGTGGTCAAGGAAAATGTGTCTGTCTTTGTGGCAAAAACAGAACCTTAAGCCCAGAAAGCTATGAATAAGTTGAATTTCTTAACATATGTGCATGGACTTTTGTCAATGTGGAGAGGATGGAAGGATTTTCATTAACATAAAGCTATTTTAGTTTCTGAAGGGCTCAGTGATCCAAATCCTCTCAGTATTCATCTACTTTTCATTATTTACATCTAGATCTAGGTCATGTTGTGTGTCTACAGCCTTCACGTTTCTAATGTTTTGTGACCTTTAGCAGTGTGTTAAACCATGTGTTTTTGCAGATGGGAATCTGGGACTAGAGAAAGTAAAAGCTTGTTAATACTACGGGGGCAATCAGTGTGTTTCTGTTCCCAGATTTGTAAATACTGAGAAGAGGTTTGTTACCTCAGGTGCTGGGTTATGCGGCTCTACTGATTTCAGACCTGCAATGGAATCCCCATGTCGCTGGTACCGCTCCATGGGGATGTACTAACTAGATTGTTATCTGCAGGAGGCAGATACACCCTCAGTGGCCCATGCAAGGTGTAGAGGATATTTATAGTGGAGCTGGAATGACATTTAGATGATGCCGCAATGGACTGATATACTCAGTGGATGATAATCCTGCATGATCCATTTATAATGTTGCTGATTTTTTTGCAAACTTGCAGTCAAAGTAATGAAACAAGAGTAAATTAACCTGACTGAGTCCTGGTAATTTCATTTTGGAACTGATATGTATATGCTTATTGATTGAAATAGTTTTGAAGAACTTGCCATTTCTTGGAAGCACCAAGAGGTTAGTCTGTCTTGGTGTCACTGATGATGTCAAATCATCTTGTGAATACTGGTAAATTCCATAGCGTGCACATCCAACTGTGTCTGTGAACAACGGCATCAAACATACAGGTCACGTCATAGTATGTTTCTTTACAAGGTACAAGTACTACATAATAGATTAAATGCTGACATGTTTGGTCAAGGAAAGAATTTTTATATTGCTGTTTCAAAACCAAATACTTAAAGCAACTTGAAGCCTAAAATGGCTGCTTGCTAAATCACTCCAGTAATGTGCCTAACTTTTTGCAGAGAACAGAGGTCACAATTAAGAATAGGATGGAGCTGCCAATAGTGGTTTTTTTATTGTTTAGATAGGCCAAAGGCTTAGTGTTTGAGACACTGTTGAGAAGGACAGCGTTAAGAGTTTCTCCATGAATCAGAAGATGAGAACTTAATTGTCAGTCTCCCAAGTATGACAATTAGCCTGTGTGTGCCACCAGAGTATATACTGTGAGTGTCAGTGATAATACCCTTTCCTTCTCAATTTTGTTTGGAAGGCAGTTGTTGGTATTGTTAGTTAATACAACATTTGTGACATTCAAACGCAATTTTGTTGAAGCTACTTAATGTTTCATGTCAAATAAAGAAATGGTCCACAAGCTTTTTGAAGTCGATCGTTTTTGCAGAAGAAGCTGTTTTCAGCTGTCTTCAGAGAAGTGCAGATCAATGAGCT